AATTACAATTTGAATATGAATTAAAAAAAATGATCCATTTATTGAATATTAGTTAAAATAATAGAAATACTTCACTTGGTAAGAAATCTCGAGATTTGCAATCCTCCAACGGGAAAGCTATCTCATCTATTTCTCATCTATAAAGTATATCCTATCTTTGAATTACCACTAAATAATATCATCATGAGTAAAAAATAAAATATGCTTAATTTATGTATCGTTAATATCAACATAACAACCATTAATACAATAAAAATTATGAAAATAGAATAATAAATAAATTATGATCTATTTATTGAATATTAGTTATAAATAAATAAAAAAAATCCTTTTCTCGATAAGAAATCCCGAGATTTGCAATCCTCCGCCGGGAAAGCTACCTCGTCTATTTCTTACTTGTAAAGAATATTTTCTCTTTAAAAAAAAATGACGAAAATTGACATAATGCATCACACTATACTTTTCCAAAGCATACATCACTCATATTAAGATTCAATGAAGAAATAATAATAAAGATTAAAATTTAAATATTAAACAATATGAACATCAAATAAATTAACAAAAAATAAAATAACAATAAAAATAATTTCTATAAGCTTGTAAAAGGAAGAATTTGCATTTTTTATTCTGTTCGAACGTCGTATCGGATTGTACCACTTCGATCAAGTGATACTTTCCACGCCCGTTCTATAAATATGTGTTCTTGAAATTATTCGAATAATATACAATAGAGAAATACAATGGGAATAAATATAAATAAAATATGCGACATAGAATCTTTACATTAAATGAAACAAACAACATTATTTACATAATACAAATAACCAAATAACAAAATCATATAAAACTGACTACAATAAAAATAAGTAAATATTACAAATTAAGATAAAATGATCAAAAAGCAAGTAAAAAGGACTAGAATAACAAACACATAAACTCAAAGAGCCAAAATGGTAAAATCAGGAACTTAAAGGACTACAATGAAAGAAACAGAAAATAAAAATTAAAATAGCAATTTCAGATAAATCAGAGTCCATACTAAAAAATACTAAATAGCATATGTACTAAGCTAAAAATAAACCATAAATCATGTACAGGACTAAAATGAAAAAAAAACAGGAACATAAGGATTCAACAGCAGTTAAACCAATTTCCACATGATGATTAAATTACAACACTTATAAATGCCGTGACCAAAATCAAATGTTAATAGAAATGTCATAACAAACAATAACAGTACTAAGTTATAAGTTCTGAAAACTTATTGCTCGAAATCAAAGAAATTATCATTTCATTTAATGGTCTAACAATATGATTACAAGACCCTAGGGACTAAAAGTGTAGTTAACCCACACGAGGAAAATGCAGAACCCTTCTTTCTAAAACACGGCCGTTTCACAGGGGGCATTAAAGCCCTAAAACGAGATTGGCCCTCATTCCCTCATCTCTACTTCTTCCCTTCTTAAAACAGAGAGCCAAAGAATGCTCTCAAAGTTCTCCCTCTCCGCCTCTGTCTCCGCCGTGGAGAGAAAAAAAAGGGCCACGGCCGCCGCAGCCAGCGGCGATGGCTTGAGAGATCAAACCACGACCAACCCTCCTCTCTTCCTTTGAACAAATAACCTTTCTCCTACCCCAAGCAAAAAAACCGAAAACCCCTATCCGAAAACCCTAGATCCAAAATAAGGGACAGTTTACCTTCAATACGGCCTTCTCTGTTCTGGCTAGGCTACAACGACGAGGTTTTCTACAAGGGTAAGATCTCCTTCACTTTGTTTTTTTTTTTTTTAGCCCTCCCTCTCTTTTTCTGGTTATCACCGCCCTCTTTTCTCTTCTTTTTGTCTTTTATCTTTTCTTGCATGTGGATTTCCCTTGAGATCATGATGATATCTAGGTAGATAGCCTTTGATTTCTCTGATTTAGGTGAATAAAATCCCGATTTTTCGGGATTTTCGGGTGTTATTTTAATGGGTTTTTAGATTTGGTAAGTTTAGGCCACTATTCTTTGATTTGGTTACTGTTTTTACAGGGACCGGTCACTGTTTGATGGATGGATTCTTCACAGCTCCGATGACAGCGGCGGTGAGGGAAGCAGCCAGCTTGACCGGCTGGGCAAATGAAGGTCCAACGGCTGTGGCGGCTGAGGCAGAGAAGGGTCACACGGCGGCTGGAAGGGGATTAGGGTTGAAACCCTAAATTGATTTAGGGTTTGAAACCCTAAATTGATTTAGGGTTTGAAACCCTAAACTGATTTAGGGTTTGAAACCCTAAACTGATTTAGGGTTTGAAACCCTAAACTGATTTAGGGTTTGAAACCCTAATCTGATGGGTTATTGGGGACCGGGATTGGGCCAATGTAATCTGAATTGGGCTTAGGGTCTCTGGGCCAAATGGGCTTCGGGTTGTTGGGCCTCTGTAATCTGAATTGGGCTTAGGGATTAGGCCTGCAAAAATTGTAATAATAAATAATAATAAAATAATAATATAATGATAATAATAATAATAATAATAATAAAATAACGGAAAAAAAAACCGGACAAAAACGGGTGTTTACACTTGTTATTTGGTTCAGCCCCCAAAAGACTTTGAGCATCCTCCATTGCCATTTCATACTTTCCGACGACGGCCTCGAAAGCTCGAGCCCTTCGAAGAATTGGCTGAACGAAGTGAGGCTGAACCTGAATTGCCATATTACACTCAGCAATAACAGCATCATAATCAACGGGTTTCATTTGCATCAAACAAGCAGCTCTATTGCTGTGAAAGACAGCCCGGTCAGGGTGGGTTTTAGGGATAAGCTTAAGAGCATTATCATAGAGTTGAAGAGCAGCAACATAGTCCTTATTTTGATACTTAAGATCGCCTTCTTCTCTGAGCTCATTGGCTCTTTTCAAAAACACGGAAGAGTCCAAATCAACAATACCATTAACATTATTACTGGAATTGTTTTGAACTGAAACCTGGTTTGACTGAACCACACTTCTTTTTCCTACCCCCTGATTTTCCCATAAAATGACAAAAAAAAAATCTAACTTTTTTATTCCCTCTGTCGCTCAAGACAAATAGGCTGAAGAACTCTATTCTTATCCAGTTATTCTGATACAAAAAGTATAAAACCTTTGCAAACGATACTCGGAGTCTATTAGAAACTTGGGTTCAGTGATAGAAACAGAAGCAGAGTGAGAGAAATAATACTTACAGAAAACACATAATAAAGTTGAAAGCTTGCTAGTTTTCTTGCATTGATAATTGAATCTGAGAAGTGGGATTCGAGTGAGATATAAAAGAGACAGGAAAGAGATGGCAAATGGGGTTTTGGATGTTGAAACCCTAGTGCTATAAGATAGCCGTAGCTGAGTGAGAGATCCACGGTTTGGACAAATTAAGCACAAGTTGGCCTGCAACCTTCCAATGCATGAGACGAAAATTGGCCATCCAATTTGCTTACAAGCCCAAACTTCAAAGGACAATTTTGTAAACAAGGTCAAAAGGGTTTTAGGTTTAAAGGTTCTTCTTCCTCCTTTCTGATTGCCACTAGTCGGTATCTCTGCTACAGTGCTACGAGCCAGGCTCGGTTGAGGCATACCTCGTTCTAAAAAGAAACTTCTTCAAAGCTCAAATTGTGCACAACTGCCGTTGTTCTCTCTTTTGAGTCTTTGAATATCCAGTTCAGCCGCCACCCATCTGTTCTACCTTCTCCTGGTCAGTTCAATCTTTTACTTCTGTTTTTCCAAGTATTATGGCTCTGAATTCATATATATAACATCATTTTCCAAAAGTTCTGTTCTTTTTTCCCTCTTCCTTTTTTTGCTGGGTTCTATGCAAAATTTGCTCTTTGTGTACTGAAATATGTGTTTTGATTTATTCATCTTTAAGAAAATTTGATCCCATTGAACATAATTCGTACTGTTTTATTTCTAGTATAATCTCGTCATGCTGGTATTCTGTCAATTTTTAACTTAAATCATTACTGAACTTGTTGTAATTTTCTTTGATTCAGACTTCAAACAGGTTGTATAGAAATATCAGAAAGATGTCTACCGAAGCACCCATCACAAATGGAGACTGAAACAGCGGCATCCGAGCCTAAACTCGAATCCAAATCACTGCCCCCAAAACCGAATTTGAGCCTCTGAAGGCTCATGAGATGTCCGACGGCCGAGTCCAGTTTCGGAAGGTATCGGTTCCACCTCACAGGTATTCACCTCTGAAGAAATATTGGATGGATATCTATACACCAATTTATGAACATATGATGATCGACATCCGAATGAACCTAAGGCTCGGAAGGTTGAACTGAAAACTATATTAGATACACCTGATATTAGTAACCTACAGAAGTGCGCAGCCTTCGTCCAAGCTTTCATGTTGGGTTTTGATGTTGCCGATGCCGTTGTGCTTTTGAGGTTGGACGAGCTCTATGTTAACCTTTGAAACCAAGGATGTTAAGACACTTAGAGGAGAGCACTTGTCTCGTGCCATCGGAAGACTGTCCGGGAAAGGAAGTAAAACAAAGTTTGCTATTGAAAATGCTACAAAGACTCAAATTGTCATTGCCGACATCAAGATTCATATACTAGGATCTTTTGCAAACATCAAGATTGTTAGGGATTCTCTTTGCAGCCTCGTTTTAGGTTCCCCTGCTGGGAAAGTTTACTCAAAACTTGGACAAGTTACTGCCAGATTGGCAGAAAGGTTTTGATTGCTTTCGTTTATAATTTGTTAAACTTTGCTGTTAAAATTTTGGATATTGTTAACTGTTATCCACACTGAATTCTTGGGGGAATTTTTCAATGAAATTTACTGTAATGGTGGTGGCATTTGAATTCTAGGCGTTAGTACATTTGCATTTTAGAAATAAAAATCATTGAACATGTCAGATTGATATTGATATTGCAATGTGAATCAAATCCAATTTTACTGCTGCAGCAGTAAAATTTCTGGTACATAAATCTGCAGTTAAAACGAAAATAAGGATGGAATTTCAATTGATGAAGCCTGAATACTTCAAGTTTTCTTTTGAGTTGCAACAAATTGCCAATTGTGTATAAACAGTTCAAATCAAACGGATAATCAAGCAGACAAATTTCAATGAGTTAAAGTTTGTCATTGAGTAACTAAAATGAATAATGAAAATGGAAGGTGTTTGTCAGCCTCCAAAGAGAATCCCGGCAGCCTGTTCTTCGTTGCCATTGCATAATTTAAGAGCTTGTATCACCATTTCTCTTGGAAACCCCAACTCAACAAGCTTTGCAACTTTGGCTTCAAAATCAGGTTTCTGCAGAAAAACAAAGGAAGATTCTCATATTAGTGATCAAACTCGAAGATTATATTAGAAACCGAACCGACTTCATTTGGTTCTTGAATTTACCTGTGTAGCATTGCCTCCTGCACCTCCTGAAGCAAAAATTGAAAAAACATAGAGGAATTCAGAATCATAATATGAATCACTTATATTGTTCTCGACTGTTTTTGTTATGGTAACCATGTAAAGGACCCTCCCAACTCCAAGGGCCCTCTAAATACATGTAAAAACTTGGAATGAAATGAATTTATGTGTACGGAGTACAAACCCGTACTCAACACTTGCATCCGAATATAATATAGCTTAAAACTATGGTGGAATATGTCCTTACTAGCCAAATAATAAGCTTGTATTTAGATGAATTTCTGCAGTGAAAGCAAAATGAAGCATGCATGATAACATGAGTGAGATTCCAATGTACTAACCAGAAGACTGTCCTCCAGATTGCACATTAGCATTCTTCTCTGTTGTTCCAGCCGTCACCTGAAGAATCAGACAATAGATCAGTACCGACGATACATATTTATTAATATGTCCTTGTGTGTTTATATTGGTTGTAGCAGTTATTAGAAAAGACTTACAGCAGCTCCTGAGCTCAATGCTTGCTTTGCATGCCTTTCTTCATCAAGGAAGCGAGAAGGGATGTCCTTTTCTGAGATGAGAAAATAAATTCAGTGACAGGAAGTTCATTAATCGGAAAGTCAGAGACAATTGCACAATATACTGATTAAAGTCACCAACCTTGCAAAAACGGTACGGAAACTTCTCCTCCTCCGACTCTAAGAACATTATCCTTCAAGTCAATGATACACTGTGCAAATGTATGCAAAGTTATGAATGTAAAGTACAAAAATGGAGGTATATGTCACAATATTAAATAGATATGAGGCTACCTGGTGCTTACGGAGCATATCCAATCCAAAGAGGAACTCCATATTGGGAGAGTCCAAAACCAAGAAGGAGCAAGGATAAAATATCTCTCCGATCTACAATAACACGAGAGAAACCAAGAAGTTAAATGGAACATTAAGCATGACAAGTGTACGGTTTATATCATCTATAATTAGCATGCCAGTAAGAGAATTGTACAAGAATAAACAAAACGAGAGATACAATTTGGATTACGAATCAGAGACATTACTAATAGAAGCAACCAATAGACATACTACCTTGATCGGAGCAACATGTATCCGCCCTAGTATCTCGGATTGGCCAACTCCATGAGCGATACCTCTATATCTTTGATCTAAAAGCCTCAGCAATCTGAAGGAGACAACAACAAAGCAAAACACATGCCATCTCCATGTAAGAGAGGAATATTTCTGACTGTGTAGCAAAAGGAACTTTCTACATTAAAAAGAGGAAAATCGTTTGTAGGACATACCCGCACCGCTCAGCACAGCTTTTGGAAATGATTGTTGACTGCGCACCACTATCAACAAATGCCTAAAAGCAAATTATAAAGCAACAGACGTAATAAATTTATCAGAGTCCGATAGTCAAACGGTATAATAAACTTCCGGGGTACTATTAAAATAATGCAGAATATCAGCTAAAACATTATCATAAACAACTGCAAAAGAGTTTTTTGAACATGTGCAGGAGAAACCAAAAGTAAGAGAAAGTAAAAGCAAAGGGTATAATAGAAACTATAAGCTACAATCACAAAACAGTGACCCTTGTGAAATCTGTATGTAGTTATATACAGAACCTGCCATCATATTTACCTTCAATGGGACACCATTAACCTCCATGTCCACGTACAGCATAACCTGATTAGAACGACAAAAAAACATTACATTCTTACGTGGATGAAAGCTATAAATTTTAATAGGTATAATAAACAGGGGAAGCAAGCCTACATACCACCCTTGCAAAGCCTTCGGGGTTATATTCTAAGGCTGCAGCCCAGTTCTCATCAATCCCTTTCTGCATAACGATATTTTAAGATGTCAGCCAAAAGATCATATCATCCAGAAAGAAAATGAGTGATGAGTATGGAAATACTACACCCCTTTGTCAAACCATAAACTACCATGCTACCTATTTCAAGTTGAAATAGGTTCCAATTAAGTTGGATCGATAGAATGTTGCAGAAAACTAACCTGCCGAATGGCAGCTTCAATTTTCTTTTGCGCTTCGACATCAAATGGATCAGCCTGAAGAAGAGCCTATGGAGCAAGATTAAACAAATGTGTATCAATCAAAGACATAATTGGGAATATATAATTTATCATAAGTTTGATCATGCTTTAGTATTTTGAAAGTTCTGTCAATAATTTTATATTTTTATTAGTTTATAATATATTCGCCACTGGTTCACAACTAGCTATTGTCATAAACAACTAGGATAGGCTACTCACAAGCTCCTCCTCCTCTTGTTGTCGCAATTCAGATCTTCGTTGATGACGAGCTCGTAGAATCTCCTGCAGTTTGTTGAGGTCATTTCCGACAACAGCTTGAGCAAGTTCAGGATCAGTCTGAAATAGTTGTCCAATTAGATTAGAATCACCTCGAATCTGTTGTTGAAAAGCTGCAGGGTTCACAGCAGAACCGTCGGGATTGAAGCTCAAGTCATTGCCAGAAGCTCTGCAATGAATCATACAATACACGTCCATGTTAAAATCTCGTAACAAGCATCCAAGTCAGGTCAGTAATATTGCTACATATATCAGAGTAAAAGCAAGCAATCTCGAACCAGATAAGTAAACGATTTCTACCTCGAAGCAGCACCAGAAACCATCATAACTAGATCATCCTCCTTAACACCCAATGCACTCAATTTCTCGGTGTTGTTCATTTCCATCCCATTAAACAACAGTTGCTGCTGCTGTAATGACACCTTAGTCTGCCAATAAACCCAAGCAAGCTTTAACCAATCAACATAAACATAACTCCACGGTCAACTCTCAAAACTCAAAGAAAACTTCTTCGAATCGAAAACCATAAAAAAAATTGAATCTTCTATCAACTAATATATGCTAATGAACCTCAATAATCAACTTTCAAAAACCCCATAAATTAAATAATTTAAAAACGAGGCATAAAGATAAAAGGGCACTAAATCTCTAACCTCAACTTCAAGCAAAGCTTTCAAATTTTCAACCTATTAGAAACAATTAAAACATAAAATCAGCAAACAATAAATAAATAAAGATTTAGAATAATCATAAAGATGGGATAAAAGGTTAGCCTTCAAATTTTCAACTTATTAGAAACAAAGGAAACATAAAATCAGAAAAAGAGTAGAGATTAAGAATGAGGATAAAGATTTGATAAAAGGGTACTTAACAGTTTCATGAGGATCAACATCTAAGCTCAGGATCTGTTCATCCGCCGTCATTACCGTAATTCTCATCCTGGCGTTGGCGTTAGATCTTCTCTGTGTCTTGTTGGCTTATGGGTTAGATTTAATGAAAGTTTTGAGGAAAATAATAAAAATTATTTAGTACTAGTATATAAAAGGAACAGAAAGGAGATGACTTTAACCTTGTTTCACTTTGAGTCTTTGACTTAAGCTTATGTTGCTTCTTACTACAGAATTTCGGTAACTTCATCTCGAAGTAGATAAAATATGTGCAAATATTTCTAGCAGTGCGAAATGGAGTTAAGCGCTTACATGGCATATTATTATAGGTAGTCTTTGTTAAGACGGTAAGTGAGATGGCGGCTATTTGAGATTGACTTCAGTTAATTTTTAAATTGAGTGAACTTCAGTCGAGTTCAAACCCAACTCATATTCTTAACGGCTTCAAATAAATTATTTGATACTTAATATAAAAAGTTTGCGAGGAATTTGAAATAATAATATATTAAATTTTTAAATAAAATTATTAATAATATTAACATTCATTTGTTATTTTTTTTATAAAATATAATATAAGACTTTCATATACTTAATATTTATGTTTAAGCTTGAGTTTGAGTTATAATCGAGTTAAGTCTCATAACATTTTGAGCTTAATTTTTTTAAGTTTAAGTTGAACTTCAATATTTTGTTTCGAGTTAAATTTAAAAACTTTGACCTCGAAAGCTTTTGAATTAAATTTATCTTTAATTTTTTATTTTAAATTTAAAGTTAACTTGATAATTTTAAGCTCGTAAATTTTTAAATCAAATTGAACTCAATTTTATAATTTTTCAAATTAAGTCAAATTCTATAATATTTGAACTAAACTAGGCAAGTTTACTATCATAGTTTTTGTTATGTACGTAATACTAAGGGGTTGTTTGTTTACTTCAGAATGGTTAAACGCTGAATGATTTAAATGCTGAATGATTCAGATGCTCCGTATGAATTAGCTCTGAATGTTGAATATTGTTTGATAATGGCTCTGAATCGTTCATAGCGTACTTTGATGTTGAATCATTCAACACTGTTTTGCTGAATCAGTCAACACTGAATCATTCAGATGTGAGAAACAAATACGCTAAATGTTGAATGGTTCAGCATTCAACGCTGAATGGTTCAACATTCAACGCTAAATGATTCCATTCAGAACCAAACAAATAACCCCTAAGGTGTACTTTTACTCGTTATGTAATTCTAATGAAGCTTAACCGTGCATTTTAGCTTTTCAATTTTGACTATAAAAAAAAACAAATTTGAGGTTAAATTTAATTAATTTTAACTTATATATATATATATATTTATATATATATTAAAGTTTTAGTCTTATCCAAATAATACAAAGATTATATAAATTAAAATCATTAAATTAGAGAACATAAACTAAAATTATAACTTATATATATTGCTTGGACTATTACCATAATTTAATTGAACAAATTCTACAATCTTTGTTTGAATCATAATCAGATTTTTAAAATTAAAGAATAAAAATATCAAAACATACTATAAAATTAAATTCAAAATTTATGTAAAATATAAAGATTAATAAAACAATTGAATCTAAATTTAGAGTTGAACTCTTCAATAATTATCACAAAAGTGATACAATGGTTCAAATTATTTTCTTTTATTTTTTTTAAAATTATTAAACCTTTAAATTTTTTAATTAAATCCCTAAATTATACCGTTAAAATTCACCATCCAGTCCACCGTGCCTTACTCTTGAGCTTTCATGGCTTAGATTTTCTTTTGATTTGAATTTTCAGGTTGCTAATAGAGTTCAGGCTCAGTGGGTTTGTGGGTTGCTGAGTTAGCTCAGCTGAATTTGAATAAATTGCTCGTTATTTGCAGCAACTTCTAAAAACTTTGACAATATATGCGATGCCATGTGTAGAAAATTTTCTACATCTCGAGCTTTCCTAGAAGAAGAAAAAAAAAATGTGTAACAGAAACAGATTCTTCTGTCAATGTTCTTCCAGCACTGATCGGTTTCCCATCTTCGAGTCGGGTAAACCCAAGTATTGACCCGCCTCGAAAGTGTACCCACGAACGTCATATCATACGTGGCCCTCGCCGTCTGATTCGACAACGTCGCCTACGCTTCGCGTGTCTCTATGAAATCACGGCCGTCCGATGGCGATCCCATCGCCTCTGGATGGAAAACCTTGGCCAAGCTCCGGTAAGCTGTCTTGATTTCTTTGAACGACGCCGTTCTCTCCACTCTAAGTATCTCGTACAAACTTCCCGCCATCTTGTTATCCGCGGCGGAAGCACACTTAACAGACGCAGCCACCTTACGCACTGAATTCCTCAGGGTCACCGTCGTCTTCTTGAGTCGTGGAACCGGAGAGCTGTTGTTAGCGGTTCTAACTGCAGAGGGAGAAGAGAAGATTGCAATTGAATACATCGGGAAAGTATCAAGGGAAGAGTAAGATAGTAACAGGAACGATGAAAAGAAGTGGGATTCTTTTGGTTTCTGCTTGTGCGAGGGGAGAGACTAACCAAAGTGATTGAATTTATAGAGGTCAAATGTAGAAGAAATCATAGAAAATTAAGGAATCTGCTTTAAACTATAGAAAATTAATTAAAATTTGATATGATTAAAAAAATAATATATTAATTTACTGGGAATATGATATAATATTTATTTAAATACTTTTAATCTTTTGATAATAAATATCTATACTCTTAACATACACAATATTTAATCTATAATTTTAAATGACAACAACAAACCTCTTAACTATTGAAATCTATTAATTCGTGTTACCGGCATAAAATTTTAAGTTCCCATGTAATTTTAGTAGCCAACTAATATCATATTATGGTCATGGGTTAAATTTAATTTAACTATAACATTTTATTTATTTGTAATTTAATTTGAATTTTAAAAAATCATCTAATTTAAAATATAGTCTGATTTTTAATGTAAAAACGTACCCTTGACAAATATATATGTGTGTATATATATATATATATTATTTTTATTAAATAAAATAAAAAATTAATTTTAAAAAATAGAGATATTATAATTATTTTTGAATATATATAAAAGTCAATTATATTATTATTTTTGAGCCTTATTGATTATTTTTATACTAAATTCAATTAGATTCAATCGAATCCAAATCAAAATTAAAAAGTAATTCAATTGAATTGAGACTAGTAAAATTCGCTAGAGTTAAATCAAATATTTGTCCCTAATCATCACTTAACAATTTATTCAAATATTGTTCTTGTTTAATGGAAGTCATACTTGAAAGTTGAAACACAACGAAATGGTAGCCAAAATTGAATCTAATTTTAATTTATTAACATTTAAGTGATTTTTCATTACCACTTAACCACTCTTTAATTCAATATAAACGTTGAATTGATTTCTGCAACCAAGAGTCAGGCGGCTAAATCAAAATTGCTTTATTATTTGAACCCGATGAGAGGGACAGCTCACTAGTCACTATGCCATTATCCCCTTAAAAACCACATCACTATTTAATATATATTTTTAAAATATACTAATAATATTATCTTTTAAAGTTTTTATATATTTTTATTGAGTCTATGTCATTTGACTTTTTTTATAACTATTTATATTCAAATTTATTAATCGATTAACTTAATTTAAAAAAAATAATGGTGATTCTTCCAACTCATTTTATTTCATTCGCAAAAATTTGGATTTGAACTTCTAACATTATTTAAGGGATCTAGTGCCTCATATTTAAATTTATCTTATATTTGTATAAAAAAATTAAAGTACTTGTATATATTTAAACAATGTTTATATTATCTTTTATATAATATATAATATTTAAATTATTTTTTATATTTAATGATGTCTTTAATTGAAAAAAAAATCTAAAATACAATTGGTTAATATATAATTAAAATATGATTTTTATTGTAGTTGAAAAATTTATTGAGGGTGTAACTTTTTTGTTAGAGAGTCACTTTTTAAGTTAGACCGACTGCAATTGAAAATATTATATTTTTCATAATATTTTTATTTGTAAGTCGTAAATTTTGTAATATAACTTTTTTATTACCATAAAAATATTAAAAATTTCTATAATTTTTTAAATTAGATATAATAATATTTTATATTTAAATTACAATAAATACGGGACGTGTGCAAATATTTTTTTCACGAAAGAAAACATAATTTTTATATTGCTTTCTAACTTTAAACCCTATAATTATACTATTTTAGAAAAATATTATTATGTATTTTTAGAAAGGGTAAACAAAATATTTAGTCACTCAACTATCAATTTGGTTCGTTTTGATCATTAAACTATTATTTTTTAAAATTATATTTAAAGTTACGTTTTGGTTTTCTTTCGGTCACCCATTGTTAAAAAAACTAATGTGTTGATGTGTCAAGATAATTTCATGTTATCACTGAAAAAATAAAAAATACTATGCCAATAGTTCTATTAATTTTTTTTAATAACGAGTGACTAAAACGAAATCAAAATATAATGTAATGTATGAAATGTCATGTCAGCATCATGTACTATCACATTGGTATCACAACAGTCAACACTAAAAACAGTTGATCAAAATACTACATTGAATATTTTTTTCTAAGCCAAGTGTCCTATTAAATGTAAAAATAGTTTGAAATCCGCCTTATTTTTTTTTAGAAAAGTTGAGGGCATTACATATCATTAAGGGTGTGTTTGGTTGGGGGAATGTGAGATTCCCATGAGAATAGAATCTACATTCCTTAGTTTGGTTGGCCGGGAATGTTATTCCCGGTAATCTTACATTACCAATAGTGGATTTTTTGGGTATATTACCGGGAATCTCAATACCTACATTTCCTTAGGTATTGTTGGATTACCGGCGTTTTGGATTAAAATGCCCTTAAAAAAATTTCTTTCAAAAATATCTTTATTCTGTCATTGAATAATAAAAATTCTACGAATATTAAATTACAAATTTATCCTTAAACTATTTTAGATTTACAAAAAAAATCTATAATTAAAATTTTATATGAAGTTCAGGGGTTAAAATAAAATTTTACTATTTCATTAAACTTTTTTATATTTTTAATTTTGTAAAAAAATTATATAAATTTTATGAATTTAATTTTTTTAAAGAAAATATATAAATATTTTCCAACTTGTTAAAAAAACAAATATATAAAGAGGACAATTTGGTCAAATATACATTCTAATAATCTTTTATTCTTTTAACCAAACACGGTAATCTTACATTCCTGCTAAACCAACCGAACACAAAATACAACATTCTCAGTAATCCTATTCCCTGATAATCTTTTATTCCCTCTGATAATCTTACATTCTGTGAACCAAACACCTATCCCATTAGTGTGATCCAGGAAGCCAGTGAAATTTCCCGCTCAATTATTTGAACAGTTAGCCGACAATTGCTAGCGTAACAGTGGAAAGCTGATCTGCATTCCATTTGGATTAAAAATCTTTCTTCTCCATTGATTTGAAGACTTGCCATAAAAAAGCAGCTTCCCCTGACCATATTACACTGCAATGTCTCCCTTAACATATACATATAGATATACTAGTAATCAACCCTTTGCACCTTTGAGTTTAACCAAATGGAAGCCAAGCCTAGATCTGAAAACAATAGCCTTACCGAGAAATGAAGGATTTCTTGGAAAGCAAGGAATGAGTTAAAAGGCTAGTGGATTCCGGAATTACCAAGATTCCCAGTTTCTTCATCCGTCCTGCAGAGACATTTCACCAGATGATGCTTCCATGGATGCCACCTTAGCCGCGGCGCACCTTCAGATTCCGGAAATAGACCTCAAAGGCTTCGAGAGCGAGCGCATAAGGGAAATCGTGCATGCCATACGTGATGCAGCTCAAACTTGGGGCTTCTTCCGAATTGTTAATCACGGCGTTCCGGTTCCCACAATGGAAAATATGATAGACACCACTCGTCAGTTCCATGAACAACCTCAAGACGTGAAGAAAGCTAGGTATTCACGTAACGAAAGCGGACAAAGGCTCATCGACTGTTATACTGTTAAACAATGATAAAATGCTGAAATTCTTCACTATATTTCATGATAGATTTGACTACATATATATAGCTCATGGCTTGTTGTTCTAGAATAATATTCGACTACTGTTCAGCAGCTCATGTAATTCATGGTTCAACATTCTCCCTGCTTCTTCTCGTCTTGACTTCTTCAGCATCTGCAACTTGAATTTTCTGACGAAACGGAATATGAGCACACTTGGTCAGTGGTTTAGTAAAACCATCAGCAACTTGGTGTGCAACAGGGACATATTTCACTTGAACCGTTTTGCTTGTCACATTTTTCCGGAAAAAAATGAACGTCAAACTCGATGTGTTTGGAGCGAGTATGGTGCACAAGGTTGGCAATCAAGGCGATAGCACTGGTATTGTCATTCCAAATGATGGGAATATTATCGAGTGATTCTTCTATGTCTTGAAGAAGGGATCGAATCCAAACAGCTTCAGAGATTGCATCAGCAACAGCAATACTTCGATATTCTGCTTCCGTCGTTGACCTGGCCACAGACCTTTGACGCTTAGCAGTCCATGAAACCAAATTGCATCCTAAAAAAACGCAACAGTCGGACACAGAGCATCGGTTGTCAACGTTGCTGGCCCAGTCAGCATCTGCAAATGTTGTAATATTCGGAGACTCTGTGGGAATTGGTGACCGAAAAACCAAGCCATAATCAATGGTTCCTTTAAGATACATCAAAATTCTTTTGACCGTCATCCAATGTCCCAAGCATGAGCGATGCATATACTATGCGACTCTATCGACACTGAACGTGATATCCGGTCTAGTATGGCAGAGATATAACAACGCCTCAACTGTGCTTCTATAAAAGAAAACATTGTCAAAAGGTTGGACTGCATCACGTCTGAGCTTGGGAGAAATCACCTTTGGAGTAAACACAGACTTAACACTGATCATATGTCGTAGCACCAACTGATCGGAAGTCCTATGGACTTCAATACCCAGAAAATAACTCAGCTCACCTAAATCTTTGAGCGAGAATTGTTGTCCTATTTGTCGAACAACTTCTTCAATTTCAGGGTTTGAGTCACCGGTTATAACTATATCATCTACATAGACGAGAGCAAAGGTGCGAGAATTATCGCTTCGCCGAACGAACAGAGAGGCATCGGCTCAAGTTCCTTGAAACCCAAGGCCAAGTAAATACTGCTTCAACTTGGAATACCACATTCTAGGGGCCTGACGAAGACCATATAATGCCTTACGTACAGCCGACATACAAGGGGTGTGCCATCACGAGATGACTGTTCAAACCCTGGGGGTTGAGTCATAAAGACTTCTTCGCCAAGGTCGCAATTGAGAAAGGCGTTATTAACGTCAAGTTGTCTTAAAGACCAATAGTTGGAGACAGCCAGGGATAA